GAGCATCACATGGGGAGGTGTTAGAAATGCAGGCCTTCCGCCCACCCCAGCCTGTGACTCAGAATCTGCAAGGGAATCCCCAAGGGATCCGGGGGCACACGCCAGTTTGGGAAGTGTTGCAAGGTGTCCCCTGGTTCTGACATGCCTTATCCCACATCCCTCGATTTGACCACCCAGCTGCCTCCTGACTTGTGGGCCTCAGTAGGGCTCACTAAAATGTAGCCTGTCATTAAGCAAAAAACATTCACCTTAGGAACCTTCTAGAAGCCTGCCACTGACTCTCAGATTCTAGAAGCAGCATCTGAAATGTACAGCCCCCCGAGGTGGACTCCTGGCATGTGTGACCCACTGGCTCTCTGAGTCTCAAGGAAGCCCAGGCAGCTTCAAAATGTTCAGGGCTCTCCCCCTCAGTCCTGTGGCTCTGACTACCCTCGTGTTCCCCATCCATCAGCCCCCATAAATGGATGACTGCCAACAGCCAACAGCAGAGACAAACAGACTGGCAGGCCACCTGCCCCTTGCGGGCCCTGCGTCCACTACTCTTGACATTTATTCAACTTGGAAGGAAAAGGAACCCTTCCAAAACATGCTTTTGGTTTTTTCTTTTTTAATAAACCCTGCGATTCCTCTAATGGCTTCAGATTATCTTAAATATTTATAAAAATCATTCTCAGCATCACTTCTTTAAACAAATCTCCTCGTCAACTTTGATTATTTATGTATTTATGAACATGATGTCTCCTTCCCTCGGAGCAGATGGCAGCTAGTAAGCCTCTGGAAAGGAGAGGGAAAAAAAATCAACGGGACAAAACGTAAACTCAGTGACTCCCCAGTTTACTCTCCTTGACAAGCTCTGGTACAAGGATCTCTCCATTCACAGTGGAAGCACCATACTGTGGCCAGTCAACAAGTGGTTTGGAAAAGCATGGAGACTTGAACTTGAATCTAGGATGAAGCTGTCACCCAAGGGCTTGATCCTCAGTGGGAATTGGAGCCCCGTTAATGGAGGGACAGGACAATGGGACTGGGGCCAGGACAGAAAGAGCCCAGGGGTGGCAGGAAAGTAACTGACATTTGCTGGGCACCGTCTATGTGCCATACACTGTGCTGGGAGGCTCCCCAGACCACCTCTGTGTTGACCTTCACAACAACCTTTCCAGGCAGCAAACATTATTCTTCATTTGAAAGATGAAGAAGGCCCAGAGAGAGGAAGCCACGGAGCTCGTTGGCAGCACAACCAGGATGGAAACCCAGACAGTCTGGCCCCCAGACCCACATCCATGCTGCCTCTGAAGCCAAAAAGGATGAGAGGAAAATACAGATGCTGTTAACCTCATGCATCCTTGGCTACAAAGCTATTATCTTCCCTTCAACCTGGTGAGGCCAATCACCCCTTTTAAGACCATCAAAGACTTAACTCCCAAAGTTCTACCCAAACAACAGAACTCTGTCTATTTGACAATCTGGGGGAATCAAGTCTTGGGTGATATCTGGAAGGAGTGGATACGAAGTTTATGAGAAGATATGAAATGAGTGTCATAGGCACATAAAGAGCTCACTTTATGAGAGAGAGGAAAAAAGACCTTTTACTCTCAGGGATGGATGAAAAACAGGATCATCATGATTCTTTCTTCATCAGGCCTTTATCAAGTGTCCCAGACAGGGAAGGAGAAAAAGAATAAAATCAACCCTTCCCCCCACGCTTCCTCAATTTACTTCTCTCCAGAAGCTCCAATTCAAGTTAAAAAAGGGACATGGGGCTTCCCTGGTGGCGCAGTGGTTGAGAGCCCGCCTGTCGATGCAGGGGACGCGGGTTCGTGCGCCGGTCCGCGAAGATCCCACGTGCCGCGGAGCGGCTGGGCCCGTGAACCATGGCCGCTGAGCCTGCGCGTCCGGAGCCTGTGCTCCGCAACGGGAGAGGCCACAACAGTGAGAGGCCCGCGTACCGCAAAAAAAAAAAAAAAAAAAATGGGACATGGCTCTGGCCTTTGAGACGCTTATGCTCTCTCTAGTTGAGGACAGAGGGATCACTACTGCTGCTACTGTTGATAATAATAAACATTGACAATTATGGCCATTTAACGGGGGCCTGTGCTGAGAGCATTACTCACATGACCGCAATGAGCAAAACCATCCCCCCGACAGATCGTCCCATTTTACAAATGAGAACACTGAGGCTCTGAGAGGTGAAGGAACTTTGTGACATGCACACAGGCAGTAAGTGGGGGCAGTGAGGTGTGAATGTGGATCCTGCCCTCATGTTCAGGCGTCCTGTGAACTGGATGGAATGGGGCAGGGATGATTTTGCCCATTTATACATGAGGAAAAGAAAGTTCTAAGAAGGCCATGACCTCTCTAAGGCTTCAGGCCAGGGCATAGCTAAAGTGGACTGATTTTAAATCTGATGTTTCACTGACACAACACTATGGCTACAATGCTTGCTGGAAGATGGTTTCTCTGGAGAGAGAGAAACCGCTTTGGCTGCCAAGTTCCAGACCTCCAAAGCCACAGGACCGTGGTCTCTTCCATCAAGGAGATGATGGGCCTAAGGCCACAACCTCCTGGCACTGGTGCCCCTCAGGAGTCCCTCCCGTCATGGGCTCTGGGTGCTGAAGCAGGAACTGACAGAGACTGGGATTCCACAATGGGGAACCAAGACACACTTGGGAGGAATGGCCAGAGAACAAGTGCAAAAGGTCACCTACAGGCCAGTGTGCTGACCTTGAGGTAGAGACAGACTGTACCTCCACAAAGAGCAAACCATCCCTCTTTTGTTCATTCTGTCAAAAAAAAAAAAAAAAAAAGCATGTACTGAGTATCCAGCATATGCCAGACAGCCTGCCAGGTGCCAGGGGAAACACAAAGGCCCTTCAGAAGGGAGCACAGTGCACCGGGAAGCGGGAGAGCTCTGCAGTAGGAAGTCTAGAGGAAGGACCTTGAATCTGCTGCTTAATTGGCTGAGGGTCTTGGGCCAAGTCCTGCACTTTCTCTAAGCCGCAAGATGAGAATAAAACCTCTACCTACTTCATAGGTAACTATGGCCACTCTATGCCTTAAAAATGAATCCGCGCATATGTGTAAACTGCAGCCGGCCACACAGAGGTGCTTGCTTCTGCCTCTTAAAATGATAGCAGCACTCAGGCTCATCTCCTGCCCTCCAGCTGTGAGAGCAAAAAACCAAAAGAAAAGCACAGCTAAGGATCCTAAGAGAAGTGCACACAGGCCTTTGAGAGCTGAGAAAGGAGAAAAGGAATGGCTGTCAGAGAAAGCAAAATCACCTGAAAATCTCCCCAAGTGACCTGCGGAAATGCATAGTGAGCCTTTATACGAAGGCCATTTCCAAGTACCCCTGAGGGTGAATCCACCCTGGGCTCCTTCAGCACACACGCTCTGCCCCTCCCCATGCCTAAAGTTTAGAAAGGATCCAGATAACGCAAATTACAACGTGCCTCCCCAGGAAGAAAACTCAAGCCAGCTGACCACTTCTGCACGCCCCACCTAGGAGAAAACCCACCTCTCCCTAGCTTCCTCCTGTTTACAGGAACCCCAATGCCTGGGAAATCAGCCCAGCTGTCAGCCCTGGCAGCCCGCCCCGGCGGCCAGTCATCTGGCGGTGGCAATCAAAATGAGGCTTCCTTTTCATTTCCACTAAATGCAATCTTCCAAGAATAGGAGAGGCTCAAAGTCAGAGTTTAAGCTCCTTTTCATAAGAAGTCAATATTTTCACAAGCTAATCCTCCTTGGGAAGGGGGTAGATTACATATATCCCAGGTGGCAAAATGTGGCTCTCTGGGGACCGTGGAATGGATGTTACAGGGCAAGGAAGCCAAAATGTGGGACCACACCCTGCCACTCACTTCTCAAAATTCACCACCCACCTATTCATTTCACAGGTATCTATGGAGCACCTCCCATGTGCCCCAGGTCCCCCTTCTAGGCGGTGGGGATATAGAAATTAAAGGTGACTGACAATGACACGTCCAATCACTGTGCCCTCTCCAGGCCAGGAAATACACGCTCCTCTTCTCGAGGCCCAACTCAAAGCAGCCCATTTTAGAGACAGGCGCCTAAGACTCAGAGAGGGCAAGCGATTTGCCCAAGGTCACACAGCTATTAAGTGGCAGAGCAAGGAATTAAACCTAGGTGCAAAGTCCTCGTGACACTCCCCGCAGGGCCTCCTTCCCACTCAACCCCTCCCCCTCTGGCTCCATTTCTGCGGCAGGGGGAGGATCAAAGACCGCCGCCGGGGGCTCCAGTAAGGGAAGTCCTCGGTTCCTCTTTCCTTCCACCCCCGACACAGGACACACAAGGTTCCATACCCACAGGGTGTGTACACAACCCCAGGGAAGCCGTGCAGGCTGCAGGGGCATCCACTCGTTAACACTGAACTTACATTTTTAAAAAAATGGAAAAAAAATACGACGAAAAGATAAAGGGCAAAGAGGAAGTGCTCTTTAAACAGAGGCGGGTTGTTACCCCACGAGGAAGTCTTGAAGCCAAGGGAGATTCTGTTCACCCCCTCCAGTTCCTCAATTCTAAGAGACTGGCCTTCCAAGCCCCCAGTCGAAGTTAGCTGGGGGCGTTGGGGGGTGCACGGCGCCCGGGGTCAGACCCTGCGCCCGCACCTGGCTAGCAGAAGGGGTCTGCGGGGGAGCGGCCACACCGGGCACCCTCCCTCCGGGCGCAGCCGCGCGCTCCCCACAGCTGGGCGGACCCGGGCGGCGGCCCCTCGGCGTGCGCCCCTCGCGCCCTCCAGCCGCCTCCCCCCCGAGGCGCATCCTCGGGGCGCCCCACGCGCCGGGGACTCCCACCGCTGCGGCGCCCCCTCTCCAACCGCAGGGCGCCCGGCGCGGCCCGGATCGCACTCCCACCTCTCCCTGCACCCATCGCGCGCGCGCCCCGCACCCCACGCCCTCCCCGGTGGCAGATCGGCTCCCAGGGCGCGCGCAAGCGAGCCGGGCGGCCCGGGCGGAGGCGCCGGAGAAGCCCCGGGCACGTACCTGGCGGCCCGGGCGAGCGGCGAGGGGAGCGCAGCCGCCGGCGCTGGAGCGCAGGAGCCTCGGAGCCTCGGGTGCCGCCGCCGCCGCCGCTGCTTCCGGGTTGGCGGGTCTCACGTCACCGCCACAGGTTTGCGAGCGGCCCCCGCCGCGGCGGCCCAGCAGCAGCAGCAGCAGCAGCAGCCCCGGCGACTGCCAGCCGAGAAATAACTATAAAAGGAAGAGACGCATCGAGGAGGAAGAGGAAACGCCGTTTACCTTCGAGACTCAGCCGCGCCGCCGGCGCTCTCACAAAAGGAGGACGCCCGCCGAAGCCGCCTCCCCCCGCGCCCAGTCCCCGCCGCATCGCGGGGCCCGGCGTCAGAGCGCGCGGCGCCCCGGGACCGCCCCGCGCCGGCCCCCACCCCACAACCCGGGGGCCGGGGCGCGGGTGACCTTGGGCAAGTCGCGGCAGGCGGGCGAGCGGCCGCCCGGGGGCGCGCTGGGGGGCTCGGCGCCCTCCCGGTGGCGTAGACGAGGGAACTCCAGCTCTGCGAGGCGCGGGGATGGCCCGAGGGCACAGCCCGTCGGGCCCTCAGCGCCCCCGACCTTCAGGGCGGCCGGGTTCCCGGCCCTGGGTCCGTTTCCCCCTCACCTGTGCGTGGGGAAGGATGCCGATCCCTGCCCCGCCCCCCTGACGGTGGAGGCGTGGAACAGCTTGTGCGTTCAAAACATCCATTCGGCCCTCGACAGATATTCGCTGAGGGCCTACCAAGTGCCAGGGCCGTCCTAGGTCCCCGAGAGGCAGCTGGGAATGCAAACAACATCCCTGCCGCGGGTGGGGGGCGGGGGTGGGGAGCGGGGGTGACAGGCAATAAACAAGCATCCGATGTGTCTGGTGGTGCTAATGCTACAGAAGGAAAGATACCGCGGGGGCGGGGAGGGGGGGTTGGGAGTATCTGTGCTACCCTACGAGGCTCTCCAAGGACTTCCAGCACTGAAATTCCCAGACGAAATGCCCTTCAGTAGAACTCTCGTTTCCGGTATTGTAAGAGACCTCATCTTTCCCCTTGTCTGTAATGGCAAAGAGTGCATTTCTCTCCATGTAGCAAGACATGCCTAGGAAATTGAAATGCTTCTTTCCTCCCTCTGCCTTGCTCCCCCAGCCCTCAAAGCCATCCAGCACTGTCTTGAAATTCAGCCAAATTCCTTACGAATATAGACAATGTTCTTTAAAGTATTTCCTCTGACCTCCAGCAGGACATCAAGAGTCACCTCAGAAGCTTCCATTGTCTTTCCACCCTCCACCTCTCCTGGATGCGTTGCCGGGAAACGGGATGTGGTGACCAGTCACCAAATAATATTGAGTGCTGACTTACCTGATTATGACCTGTTTGTTTCTTTAGCGAGCCCCTTCTAAAGCCCTGTGCTAGGAGCTGGGGGCACTGAGATGGTAGAATTCCAACAGGACTTCCAAGAGGCTCCTAGCCCTGGAGGGAGATGGGGGCCCACATGAATCCGTACCTGCAGGAAAGTAGGACAGATGACAGTGTATAGAGGAGACAGGGGGAAGGGGTGTTTACCCAGCTTGGAAGGGAGGGAGCCAAAGAGAGAACAACAGGAGAAAATCAGAAAGCCCTTCCTAGAAGTTCTGGGAGGCATTAGAAGCACCTGGAAGCTTGCTTGAGCACTGGCGCTCTCACCCCTACAAAAGGGGAACAGATGCCTCCCTGGCAGTGATGGAGGGTGGCATGGGGAGGGGTGGAACAGCTGGGTCTTGAACTATGAATGTGACGAGAAGCAGAGAAAGGGTTTGGAATCAGACACAGCTGAGCTTAGTTTCTTTCTTGGCCGCCTACACAGTGGGATGAAAAATTCTGAACATTTCGGAAATACTCACCAGGTGCCAAACGCTGTCCCCATCTAATTTAATTCTCACAACAGCCCCAGGGGGCAGGTTCATCGGGCTCAGTGTTTTGCAAGATACTGGAGCTGTCCGGAGGAATTTGCGCAAGGTCAGACTCATTCGATAGTGGTGGAGCTGGGCGTGCACCCAGATTGTCTGGCTCAAAGCCCGGCACTTAGCCACGCTGAGCCTCAGCTCGCTCATCTGTGAAATGGGATTGACCATAACTACTTCATTAGGTGGTGGTGTGGGGGGCAGTTAAATGCAATAGCATATGTGTAGAACCTAGCACATTAACAGGACCCAGAAGAGAGCTATCACCATTGTAGTTATCATCACAGTGATTGTTAAAGGCATGGGGGCAGGAACTTTCTGGCCTGCGTGGGAACTGCAAACAGCTTGGCGTGATTGTAACCTAGAGTGTAAATGTGGGGAGTCAGGAAGCAGGGAAGGGTAGGTGAGGGCATGGGCAGGGGCTGCATCACACTTCCCCTGCACTCCGCTGAATTCAGAGATGCCGGAGAGGAGAGGTCCAACTCATAGGCGTGTGTCTCCGCTCACTGCATACAGGGAGGCTAAGGGGATGACTCTGGCCTTTGACCTTGCCTCATTCAGTCAGGTCCTGATAGATCTGACAGACTCAAGCAAATGGAAACCTGGGGATAATGCCTGGGAAAAGCTCCGGCAATTCACCACTGCAGTGACCTGCTCTGTTTCCCTGGGGTATCAGCCCTGACAACAGCAGGTAGAAATCTATGTCTCAGCCTGTTTGGGCTCTTGTAACCAAATATCACAGACTGGGTGGCTTAAACAACAAACATTTCCTTCTTATGGTTTTAGAGGCTGGGAAGTTCAAGATGAAGGCGCTAGCAGATTTGCCGTCTAGTGAGGGCCCGCTTCCTGGTTCATAGACGGCCCTCGTCACTGTGTCCTCACATGACAGAAGAGGGGAAGGAGCTCTCTGGGGGTCTCTTTTATAAGGACACTAATCCCATTTATGAAGGCTCTGCTCTCATGACCTAATTACTTCCCAAAGGTCCCACCTCCCAATTCCATCACATGAGGGATTAGGTTTCAACACAGGAATCTTGGCGGGACACAAACATGCAGTTCGTACCATCCAGCATCCTGAAAACAGCTGATTTTGGAGTCGGGAAGGCCGGCCTACCATTTCCAGTTGTGCAACCTGGGCATGTCATTTAACTTCTGACTCCTTTAATTTGCTTGTCTGTAAAATGGGAATAATAACATTCATTCTGTCGTTGAGAAGGCACCATGAGATAATGAATTTTGAATGCTCTATACACTGTAACATAGCATATGCACATTTTAGTTTCAGTCTTAGAATCCTGTCCTCCCACGGCACAGGCAGCCCACCCATCTTTCAAGCAAAGTAGCTAGCTCTTTCCATCACATATGCAAAAGCTCCTCAAAACTATGTGTTTCCCTGCTGAGCATTTGCGTTTTCCCCAAGAGTGAATGCTATTACGTGTACATGGTAACAGAAGGTAGAAGTCAGGAGACACAGGGACTCCGTTTTTGTCCTGCTGGTTAGTATTTTGCAATTAAGCAGATTCCATTTTCCATTGGGGTAAAAGCAAACTCAGTGACGCTCTATGTACCTGGGTCCCTTCACCTCCAGCCATTCAGAACCAACAGACTTAAGAGAGGAGACAAAGCCTGAAATTTCTAGGGGCTGCCTTCCTGGAAGGGGGCTTGCAGGTGGCTCAGGCAGCCCCTTCCGGCTGGAGAAGCCCACTCAGAGAGGTGGAGAGAGAGCTCACCTTTAGGCTGGGACAGGGATCCTAACCTGCCATGCAGAACCAGGGTTAGTGAATGATGGTTTCCAGGGGCTGGGAGGAGAAGAGAATGGGGGTAACCGCTTAGGGGTTTCCTTTAAGGGTGATGAACGTATTCTGAAACTAAATCAAGGTGGTAGTTGTGCAACACAGTGAATGTACTAAATACCACTGAACTGTTCACTTTAAAATGGTTAACTATATATTGTACATCAACTGTATCTCAATTAAAAAATAAAATAAAAATTTAAACAGTTAACTATAGGTTATGAGAATTTTACCCGGATTTAAAAAAAAACAAAAAAAAAAGGATGGAAGGAAAATTTGGCCAGGGGTGGGGGAAGCTAGTGAGCAGGACCTTTAGTATATTTTTGGTATTTCAACATAGCCACAATAGAGCTGCACAAATGAGCCAAAATGTCAGAATCTGGGCAACCAGGCGCTGGGACTCCTTGCGAGCAGCCAGTTTATATAAGGGATCCTTTAACAACTGAAAGTAAAAGCAATTAGCATGAAATAATGCAGTTTGGGTATTAATATTTTTATTATTATTGTACCTTAATTTGTGTTTCTGAGAAAAGAGAGTGGCATAGTGGGAAAGTCAGGGTCAAGACAGACCCGAATTCAAATCCTGACTTTAGTTCTCATCAGCCTCAGGACCTTGGGGAAAGTATTCAGCCTCTTGTGTTTCCCTGTCACATAAAATGGGGTGACGATGACACCGACGCCATGGGGTCATTGCGGGGGCAGAGTGTGGAGCACAGGTAGAATTTCACCTGGAAGATACTTAGTATATGGCCGTTGCTGTGGCTCTTACTATATGATATACAGTGTCTTCCGGAGCACGGGGCCACGGAGAAAAGGAACCAGAGTTCTTGGGGGAACTTTAGAAAGCACTGCCTAGACTTTAGAGCCTTGGAACTGCACAAACCAAAGCACACCTGCAAGAGGGATTTCACACGTGCCCAAGCACACCTGCAAGAGGGATTTCACACGTGCCCAAGCACAGCACGTGGCAGGCGGCGGTGATGTGACTGACGCAGGCGCAGCCGGCTCCGCTCGCTCTCCGCCCCTCCCGGGAATCGATGGACACGCACGGCTTGTCACTGGTCCCTTGCAAAGTGACAATCATCACTAAACGCAAGAGAGCAAAGTGAAAACACTGCCAACTCCCTGGGATCATGTAGTGATGGTGGTGGGAGGGGAAACTAGCCCTTCACACTCTCCGAAGAGCCTAAATCCTGGAGAAAAGCTGGGAGTGATTTTAGAGCCAGTGCTGTTAAACAGTTACTTACGGGGGAATTGCTGTGTAAATGGGTCAACTTTCACTGTGCAGAAAAACTCAATTACGTGGAGGTGTGATCTTGTATCAGTGACATGTTCCATGGGAAATCAAATGGCCCTACGTGAGAAGGCACAGAAATGTCTCCCCTACGATCACACTGATATAAAACCTCTTTCTAAATGAGTCATTTCTCGGAGCATAAAACGTCTCTCTACCCTGGTCCGCAAGTATAGGTGTGAGCATGTACACACACGTGCATACACACCCGGGGCAAGAGGGTGTTTATATGAGTTATTTTTTTAATTATGAAAGTAATACATGGGACTTCCCTGGTGGCACAGTGGTTAAGAATCCGCCTGCTAATGCAGGGGACACGGGTTCGATCCCTCGTCCTGGAAGATCCCACATGCCGCAGAGCAACTAAGCCCGCGAGCCACAACTACTGAAGCCCGCACACCTAGAGCCCGTGCTCCGCAACAAGAGAAGCCACTGCCATGAGAAGCCCGTGCACCACAACAAAGCGTAGACCCCGCTCACCACAACTAGAGAAAGCCGTGCACAGCAACGAAGACCCAACGCAGCCAAAAATAAATAAAATTTTAAAAAAAGAAGTAATACATATTCACTATAGAAAAACCGAGAGAGGGCTTCCCTGGTGGCGCTAGTGGTTGAGAGTCCGCCTGCCGATGCAGGGGACACGGGTTCGTGCCCCGGTCCGGGAAGATCCCACATGCCGCGGAGCAGCTGGGCCCGTGAGCCGTGGCCGCTGAGCCTGCGCATCCGGAGCCTCTGCTCCATAGCGGGAGAGGCCACAACAGCCAGAGGCCCGCTTACCAAAAAAAAAAAAAAAGAAAAGAAAAATCAAGAGAGAAAAGTATAAGAAAGCAAGCAAAACTCATCCATAATGTCCTGTCCAGGGTCAGCCGTTCTTTCTTAACATTTTGATGTTTTATCTCTCAGTCTTGTTAAAATTCATTTTAAAACAGTTGCAATCACACTGTATGCACATGTTTAATTCGCTTCTTTATTCACTTCTGCTGAGGTAGTTCATCCCACACAGGTTTAAACAATAAACTGGGAGGCCACTGCTGGCCTGAAACCCACACAGAAGGGAAGGAACGTGTGAGAGAGCAAAGCACTCCTTCAGTGCCATTTCCTCCAGGACAGACGCCATGTCTTGTTCAGCACTGAGGTCCCAGCCCTTAGAATGGTACCCGAAACATTATGACTGCTAAATATAGGTGCGCTGAATAAAGAATGGATGGGCGAATGGGGGAGAGATACTGATACCTTACCTGACAGGCCCAGCCACTGACACCTGCCCATCTGAGCAATAGGGAATGGTGGGGACTGTAGTGAAGGGGAGCACATCCTCCATCCTTAGACATTCACGTTCCAATCTTTACAACACCTTGTGCTCATCAAAAACCAGGCATCTGTTTGCAGTGGGCAACCTCTCAGAGCAGTGTTCGCAAAGCAGGGTCCTTGAAGCATAGTACCAGCATCATCTGGGAACCGATAAGGAAAAGAGTCTCCACCCCATCCCAGCTACCCACTCAGAGACCTGGGGGTGGGGCCCAGCATCCTGGGGTTTGACAAGCCCTCCAGGTGATGCCAGATTCACTCATATTTGAGAGCCACGGATCTCGGCCCTGGTGCATATTAGAATCACCTGGGGAAGCTGTTTACCCTCCAATACCTGAGCCCAGCCCAAGATTCCAATTTAATTGATCTTGGGTGTGCTCAGACTTCAGCATGTTCTCAGAGCTCTTCAGGTGCTTTTAATGTGCAGCCAGGGCTGAGGAGCCTGACCCGGATGGCAGACAGGCTACAGGTGGCCCTTTTATTCCTCTTGGATTCCTGTGCCTTCCCAGCCACTGTGTTTTCATCATTACTGTGAACACGGTACTGTTATCAAACACACTGATTTTATTTTATTAAGAAATATTTCATGCATACAAAGCGGTGTAGAGATTAACATAACAAACAACCATGTACCCACCATTATTAGCTCTGTCATATCTTATCATCTGGCCATTGTTATGGGCTGACTGTGTCGCCCCCCAAATTCCTGTGTTGAAGTCCTAACCCCCAGGACCTCAGAATGTGACTGTATGAGGCAATAGGGCCTTTAAAGAGGTCCTACAGTTAAAATGAGGCCATTAGGGTGGGCCCTAATCCACAATGACTGGCGTCCTTATAAGAAGTGAAGATTAGGACATAGACATGTACAGAGGGAAGGCAGCCATCTACAAGCCAAGGAGAGAGACCTCAGACGGAATCAACCCTGCCAACACCTTGACCTTGGACTTCCAGACTCTAGAACTGTGAGAAAATAAATTTCTGTTGTTTAAGCCACCCAGTCTATGGTACTTTGTTATGTCAGCCGTGGGAAACAAATACATTCATATTTGCTCAGATTCTCTGAAAAAACCCCGAAAAACATAACAGATAGAACTGGAGCTCCCTCTATTCCGTCCCCTGTTCCTCTCCTTCCTGCTCCAGGGGTAACTTATGTCCTAACTTTAGTCTTTACCTTTCTTACCAGGAGCCAGAACCATATTGTGAATGAGGATTCTGGAGCCAGAACAACTGGGTGGGGAATATTGGTTCTGCCACCTTCTAGCTGTGTGACTTTGACCCATTAATCACCCTCTCTGGGGCCAAATGGTCCTCATCTGTAAACTGAAGATATGAATAGTATCACCTTTGCATGTTGTCTGGAGGGTTAAACGAACTATTGTTTACAAAACACCTAGGATAGAGTTTGGCACGTTAAGAGTGACATACACATGCTTGTTAAATATATTTACACTTTTACTACGTAAACATATGTATGCATCTATAAAACATGCATGAAATATTGTTTACACGTTTTCAAACTTACATAAAAGGTCTCCTAGTACATATCCCTCTGTAACTTGGGTTTTCTGTTTGAGTTCCAGTGACACTTTTTGCGATGGCTCCATGTGGATAAAGGCTTTCTTTTCATCCCATTAAGGGCTGTAGTCTCAGTGTGTCTATACTGGTCTGCCTACTCTCACTGCCTCACCTGGAGAGCTGCCTCCCTCATGCTGGCCTCTTTTCACCCACGCACAGGACATTCCCCGCCTCCCCAGGGGTGTCCCCTGGGTCCCCCCCTTCAGCTCTCCCTGAGACCCTGGCTGCCTCTGGGCCAGCCCTCATGCTTTCCTGCTCTGGTTTCATTTTCCATGGGCCTGGGTTTTAGAAGCTCAGCACTTCTTACATTTCAAAGAATCTCCATAGCCATGGTCTCCTGGGATGTCCCTTAACAGCCCCGTGATGAAGATAAGGTAGTACTCTTCCCTTCCCTTTGCACACAAGGAAACTGAGTCACAGAAAAGTTGAGTGACTTGCAGAAGGTCACACAACGAGTTAGAGACATAGTTAGGTGTCAGCCCAGCTCTCCAGACTCCCAATCCCGTGTTCTTTAACAATTTTTGGTTATGAAAATAATTGTACTTTATGCTTGTAATTTGGAGTTTTATTAGTGTTCCCATTTTGCAGATGAGAAAACTAAGTTTTCCAAAAGCATGGTCTCAGAGCCACCTGCATCACGATCCCTTGGGGGGGTACTTGTTAAAAATACAGATTCCCAGGCTTTGTCCCCCCCCCCCACATTGTCTTGCTCAGTAGGTCTGGGTGGGCCCATGAACCTGCATTTTCATGGCCGTTGCCAAGTGGTTCTCAGGCACACTCAAGTTTGAGGAACACGGGGGTCTAGAATAAGCCTTGCCCTTTCTTTCACCCAACGCTCACTGTGGCAGGCAGCTTCCGAGGACCTGGGCAGGGTCACTGGCAGCTGCCAGCTCTGAAGTGGGCACATCAACTGTGAAGGCCAGAGTAGTGGAGGCCAAAGGCTGGGGAAGCTGAGCAAGATGCCCAGACCCAGCGTGGGGGCAGAGGGGGCGCCTGCAACACGCCTACCGACGTGGGCACCCAGCCCGGAGCCGGCCACAGAGACAGGCCCTGGGGGCAGGAGAGCTGGGCACCTGGAGCTGCTCCAGACAGAAACCCCCATCACGATCGTTAGCGGGTGCTGCTGGGAGCCCAGTGGCTCCAGTCCATTGGCTGTGCCTCGGCTGGGTGTCCATAGGAAATACTCACAGAGTGTTTACTACATGCCATGCACCCAACTAAGTGCTTGACATCCGTGATCTCACTTAGCGGTGGGCACTACTGTCATCTCCATTTTTCAGATGAAGAATCTGAGGCCCAGGAATCTAAATGACTGGCCCAAGGCCACACAGTATGCAAACGGCTGCCTGCATCCATTCTCTTAACCACAATTCAGTACGCCTTCAAGTCATTATTTTTTATGTTTCTGTGTACGTGGCAGAGTGCCTGGAACTGTCAGGGCTAAATAAGTGAGCTGAATGAACGAATACGAATGAATGAAAGAAAATGAATGAATGAATGAACGAAACGAATGTTACAGTCCCCTGGTGTCAACTGACTCTGGCATAACCCCTCAAGCTGTACTTAAAGAAAAAGGTAAGAATTCTCAAAATAATCTTATATAGTCATTTCTCTCTTTCTTCTTGAAGTTGACTGGGCTGGAAAGAATGCACACGTGTGCACGCGCACACAGTTAATTGAGGGTTCTAGTTGGATGCATTCTGGCTTTTGAGCATCTGACTTGATTTGCTTGAATAGTGAAAGGTGTTAGAGACAGGATCTGGCACTCACTCCTGAAATTCTCTAAGCCTCAGGTTACCCGTCAGGAAAATGGGGATGATCACGGTCCAGCCCACAGGGCCACGGTGAGGATTCAATGAGATTAACACAGCTCAGGTGCTTACTGCTGCACAGGGCACACGAGGAGCTGACTGAGAATGTCAGTGGTTGTTGCTTTTTCATTATCGCTATTTGGAGGGAGAAGAGTGCTGGTAAAAATCACATTCATGAAAAGGAAAAGCCCCTGAAGCGTTCTAAGAAAGATGATCTGTAGCGATAGTTGTGGTTACATACACAAATGAAGATGGGGAGGTGGCAAACGGCACAGATAATCCTCGAAAGGTGAATGCCACACGCATTCGTTCCATTTACATTTGTCTTTGACACACATTTTTTCAATATATTGTCATTGCTTTTCGTGCCCGTTTATAAGTTGATTAAGCCACCATCAAACGGTTCCTTGAGCACCAGCTTTGTTGGATGATAGAAGGGTGGCTGTAAAATTGGCTAATAAACAGACCTTGCAATACGTGGGGCTTTTGAGTTTACAGAGGGATTTTCCACCCACTCTCTTAACCCTCAAATCCTGTCCCTCAAGGTGAGCAGGTACTGCTACTGTCATCTGACAGAAAAGGAAATGGCAGCCTGAGAGTCAAAGTGATGTGCCCAATGCCATCTATTTATACCAGACGCTGGACTTGAACCTGGTCTCCGGACCCCATGCCCGTGCTCAGCTCTGTTACAAGAACCCACTCTAGAACTCAAATGAACCCTTGGATACCTAGGAACCAAGTCACTGGGTAACCCCATTAATATGAATCGTAGGGATCACCCATAGGAAGAGGTTTTACCCATAAAAACAGGTTGGGATGACTTCTAGCTGAGGTAGGGTAACAGGACTGGAATTATTCTCCATCCTTAACTGAAAAAAAAAGGAAAAAATACTGTTTCAGACACAGGACAATAGGCAGTAAGGACAGTGATTCCTGAGAAAAGATAAAGAGGGTTGTGCCTCCAGCCTCTGTGCCTCACTTGGGAATCCTTTTTATCCTTCAAAGCCCGGCCCCACTGTCACCAGCTCCACGAGTATGCCCTGAACGTCCCTGTTGGAAGTATACTCTGTTCTACCCTGAAATCCTATGACGATGCGTTTCTGCCTCGCGCTAGGGCTGCCCAAGGACCTGACAGTCAGGAGGCTCCGACCTTCCATCGTCTGCACCGCAACTCCAAACACAATGGTCCTCACAGGATCGTGTTCACGGAACTTCTCTGCAAAGAAGAACAAATGATTTTTCCTGTGCCATTTATCCTTAAAAGGAAAAAAAAAAAGCGTTTAAAAGAGTGAATTTATAATAGCCAAGACATGGAAGCAACCTAAATGTCCATCAACGGATGAACGGATAAAGAAGATGTGGTACGCATATACAATGGAATATTACTCAGCCATAAAAAAGAATGAAATAATGCCATTTGCAGCAACATGGATGGATCTAGAGATGATCATACTGAGTGAAGTCACACAGAGAAAGACAAATACCATATGATATCACATATGTGGAATCTAAAACATGGTACAAATGAACTTATTTACAAAACAGAAAGAGTCTCACAGACTTAGAAAACAAACTTATGGCTACTGAAGGGGAAAAAGGGGAGAGGGATAAATTAGGAGTTTGGGATTAACAGATATACACTAATATATATAAAACAGATAAACAACAAGGTCCTACTATATAGCACAGGGAATTATATTCAATATCTTGTAATAACCTATAATGGAAAAGAACCTGAAAAAGAACATATATGTGTGTGTGTGTGTGTGCGTGTGTGTGTGTATAACTGACTGAATCACTTTGCTGCACACCTGAAACTAGCACAACATTGTAAATCAACTACAGGTCAATTTAAAAAATTAATTAAAAAATAAAAGAGTACAGATATAATCATCATAGTCTCCCTTGATATTTTTCGTTTTACAGTTTAAAAAAGTGAATCTTTGGATACGCCACCTGATGGGCACCAGGAGGAACTGTTGTTTTTTTTTTTCCTGCAATAGTTGTTGCTAACTGTTTGTGGCAAGAACAGGGATAGAACAGATATTATCATCAGAGAACTACAGCTCCGAAAAGTCACGTTCTTGGCACACTGTAGATATTTCGGGAGGACAAGAAAGAGTAAAATGATTCTTTCCAAAATTAACAGTTGGGGAAATGACACTGTTTTAACCTGAATTCCCTCTTCTTTCAGTGAAATAGAATCGTAAACCTAAAACCTTTTTGTTTTTTGGATTGACAAAAGTTCATTTTAAACCTTGTTGCGGGAAAAAGAGAAGGTTCTAAACTACCCTGGGATTACCAAGCGACACCCGTCACTATCAGATTATCTTGTTTCATATTCTCCAGGACACTTATTATCAGGTATTAGTTATTCCACTTATTTATTTTCTGCTTCCTCCCACTGAATGGAAGCTTCAGGAAAATGGGGATCTTGTCTATCCTTTTCCCTGTGGTATCCTGAGCACAGAGCAGGGCCCAGCACCCAGCGGGTGCTCTGTAAGTGTTTCCTGGAAGAACTCAGAACACAGAAGACATTCCCCAGCCCCAGGGCTGCTGGTATTTGCACGCGAGGTCAGACAGCTGTGCTTTATGGGAGAATCCTGTGTACTTTCTCACCAACTGCTGGCTGAAAAGGCCAGAGCGGGAGGGACCACAAGAGGCAAAAATGAATAAACAGACCCAAGATGAGGTTGAGCATGGTGTGGACAAGGGCAGGGAGGATGCCATCCTGACTACAGCTCAGGCCCAGGAAAGAAAAGCAACTTGGTTTTTCATTTCTTTAAAGTTATGAAAGAGTTTCAGCTCCATGATAGAAAGAGCACCTGTCTGTTCTCAAGGCTCTTCTCTTCGGAAAGCCCTTTCCTCGCCCCCAGGTCCCAACCGTGAACATCACAACCTTCCTTCCAGGTCCACCTTCTCCACGTACTCGGTCGTGTCTTGACATTTTGCCATGTTTGCATCAGATCTTCCCCATCCTTCTTTGCTTCTTTCCTGTTCTTTGGGAGGGGGCGATGGGGGAGCGGAAGCCCTATGCCAGCATCCATGCCTGTGGCTCCCCCGCTGCCCCCTCCCTGAGACAACCACTACCCTGTTTGGGGTTAATCATCCCCATATATCCATAAGCAACACGTAGAATTTTGTAGATTTTTTTTAACTTCATATAAATGGTTTCATTTCGTATGAACACTTCCGGCAACTTTCTTTTCTACTCCACACTGTTTATTCATGTTGCTACACGTAGCCCATGTCTACTCATTCCGTGATTCACAGCACTCGTTACTACCACGTGAAAAACTGTGGAGTCTTTGTGTCTCTCCCACTTTCTCTTCCCTACCTTTCCCCAGTTAAGTGGGAGCCCCATGAGAGCCGGGATCATTTTTTAGGTATAAGAACTGTACCTAGTACATACCTGAAAAATTTGGCTAATTCATTCCAAGAATTAATCAACATCGGGTAGTATTCTGCTGGATAAACTTAACACGGTTGCTTTGTTCATTTTTCTGGGGACGACATCTGCATTATTCCAATATTTTGCTCTTTTAAACAGTGTTTTTGCACGGATCTTCTTTTCCATGTCCCCTTGTGCACATGTAGGAAAGAATCTCTTTGTACCTGGGGTGGAGTAGCTGAGTAGTAGGTAGATATGCGTAACTTCGAATTTATTAAATATTACTACCCACTTTCCAAAGAGGTTATGCTACAATTTGTCACCCCAGCTTACTATATATAACAATAGATTAAAAATATATATATCACAATATAAGAAAGTGCCAAGTATAGTTCTGACCTCAGAACTATGGTACTCAAATCCTTCCAGACTTTTTCCACGTATAAACCATGCATGTAATGGAGATCTTTCTCTTTTGACATGTGGAGAATTTCCAATTTCTTCTTTTTGACAGCCATTAGCATTCCATTGTCAGGAAGCACTTTACCTTTGTAAATCAGTCCCCTGTTGGTGGTTGTTAGATTGTACCCTGAAACACCATATATTAAGTATGTTTGCATGTTTTTTGTGGCTACATATTATTTTATTGGGTGGATGTACCATAATTAATCAGCCATGTGAATTTTTAAAATAACAGCATAGTATAAATCTTTTATTTTTCTTAGGAAAAATTCTCAAGAGTTGGAATTTTGGCCAGTGTATTAATATTTTGGGAGACCTCTTATGTATTCCCAAAAGGATTGTTATAATTTAGACTGCCCCCATCTTGGAAGCTGCTTTATTGAAGTACCGAGGACATATGTTTTGCTGACTTGACTCTGAGTGTCCACACAGGCGTGTGTGGTGTTGATTATCCTGTGTCCCTGGGGTCTGGCACATAGTAGGTGCACGGGAGATGCTTGCTGAAAGACAGGGGGCTCTCGGAGGAGGATGGAGTGTGAGTCTAGGAAGATGGGCCCTGCTGCTGCTTCTGCCACTCCGTTGAGAACAGGGTGGGGCTCACGGATCATCAGCATGGAGTCACAGAGGTTTAAAGGAAGCAAAAGCCACCTGGGTGTCACCTAACCCAGACTCTCTACTCTCCAGCGCTGTGACTTTGGGAGACTTGTTTGAGCTCTTTGTGATAGACAGAATGAAGCAGCCCGCCCCCGCTGCCCCGGCCATGTCCTTACCCCTGGGACTTGTGAATATATTACCTTCCATGGCAAAAGGGACTTTGTGGGTGTGATTAAGGATTTTGAGATGGGGAGACGCTCCTGGATTGTCTGAGTTGGTCCGATATCACAATTCATTCTAAAGGTGGTGAGAGGGTCAAAATCAGAAAAAGGAGATGTGATGGCATAACCATAGGCCAACCTATGCAATCCCTATCTTCCGGGCGATGAAACTAAAGCGTAGAGGGGAAGAGGCTCGCCCGAGCTTTTTCTGTTGGCTGGAGCCAGGCAAGGACATGCTCCCCCTCCTCAATTCAGCAGCCCTGGGGGTGGTGACCCCAGTGGGCGGGTTCCAGTTCTTCTCCTGCCCCTGCTACCCTGCAGAGCTGCCCCTCTGCACTCCTTCTCCCCTCCTAATTGGATGCAGGCACAAGCAGGGTGTTTTTTTTGGCTGCGTTGGGTCTTCGTTGCTGCACGCAGGCTTCCTCTAGTTGCAGCGAGCGGGGGCCACTCTTCGTTGCGGTGCGCGGGCTTCTCATTGCAGTGGCTTCTCTTGTTGCGGAGCACGGGCTCTAGGTGTGTGGGCTTCAGTAGTTGTGGCTCGTGGGCTCTAGAGCGCAGGCTCAGTAGTTGTGGCGCACGGGCTTAGTTGCTCTGGCATGTGGAATCTTCCCGGACCAGGGCTCGAACCCATGTCTCCTGCATTGGCAGGCGGATTGTCAACCACTGTGCCACCAGGGAAGCCCCACAAGCAGGGTTTTATTTGTGATAGTCCAACTGGACTCCATTTCGACAGCAGACAGACGAGCTGTGTTTGAATACCCTCTACCAGGCCAGAGGAAAGACATCACTTCCTATAATTCTGACGTCTTTCTTCTCTCAGGATAACTTTGGTGGATTGGGGTCGGGGTTTTAGTGGCCCCCTTACTTAAAGTTGTTGTTTGAGGACCCCCCTATGGGCTCTTGGCTGCAGGGAGCGTGAAAGGCAGGCAGAGACGGTACCTATTAGCAGCTTTATGTCTGGTCGGTGGCCTGAGCCCTAGAATAGGCTGGAGGAGACCACGGGTGCTTGTGATGGAGCAGGGCCCCGGCCAGGGTTGGAAGGGGCTGAGGATGGTGAGACAGGATGATGCTGGAGGGGCCAGGCCAGCACCCAACAAAGTGCTTCTTTTCGCTTCAAGATCCACACATTGCTTTGGTTTAAAAAAAAAAAAAATGTTGAACCATGTGAATGTTATTTTTCAAAGGACAGTCCGTGACGACCCACATCAGAGCGCCCAGGCGTATCTGCTACACGCACAAAACCCCGGGTCCCACCTGCTCTGCCTGACCCGCTGACTCAGAATCAGGGAGGTCAGGGTGCGGGGTTTGCATTTTTAACACTCAAGTCTGAGGCCCACAGCTTAAGTAGAGAGAAAGATAGACGGACGCAGAGACAGATGGAGCTTAATGGGCGGGTTTGCCTCAGGAAGGGGAGCAGCGGGTTCCTGCTCTGGGCTTGGCTCCCCAAGGACGTCCTGACCCCACGGGCACCCCGGGCGCAGGGCGCGGGGAGCTGGGTGTGTCGGAGCCGCAAGAATCCTGCCTGGCAGGGAGGGTTCTCTAAGCAGA